CATATTTTAAAAGACGGAGCAACTCATACCGGCTGCTTTTTTGTCCGGAACACGCTTCCGTCTTGATATAACAATCAACTGATTTCTGCAAATTTTAGACTTTTAGAATTATCATCAGTCATAGCACACCTCAGCAATGCAAATCCTAATTTTTGAAAGCAATGAAATGCTGAAATTGATCTACTAGGAAGAACACTATCATTGTGGATCAGAGTCATTGCGTAATGGAAAAGATGAACAAATTATCGAAAGGATGCTTCCTTCAATCATTCAGAATGGTATTGACATGAATCAGTGCTTGCTGCTTGATAAAAACAAGTACAAGAATGCGTTCAAGTTGAACGAATGTGCATTCCGAAGGAATTCACCTGGTCTTATCGGCAACAGGCACGTCTTTTTTCAGCGAACTTTTAGTCGCAATATTTTTCTCTTTGGATGTTGCACAATCGATTTTATTTTTACTCGCATTCTTTTGTATCATTTGCACATCAACACTGATATCTGGCAGAGTTTCCGAACGCGCAGTTTGGATATCATCTTCTTTTGGTAAAGTAGCAGCACTAAGCTCTGTTGTCTGCGTTTGACTCAGTGACTCGGTTCGTCTCGTTTCGTCTTTCTTTAAGACTGCATTTCTATGATTGTTTTTCTTTGGTGAGATTTGTTCGTTGCTAACACTTATTTCATCTTTTCCAGCTGCTGTTTGAACGTCTGATGGTGGTGCTTTGCTAAAAAAGGCAAAAGTCATGCATCAATACATAACATAATTATCATTGTATTACTCAATACAAAATTGCATTCATCAGATTTTTGCTTAATTAAAACTGAATCTTCAAAATAAAAGTTCCGGTTGGATTAAATTGATCAGTTTCAATTCCATTCAGGATAAGAAACAATTTTCGAGAACTTTCACTGATATTGATAAAAGATTACCAGCGCACTAAGCAATACTGCGATGGTGCCGAACAACATCTCAGTGCGCAGATAATCTCTTGTCAGCAACACAGCATCAATGTTTCAATTCACGCATTATCGCCATGCGCCTTATAAACGACTTAAATCAAACTCAAACCTTTTGCACTGTTCATTTGGAGGATCATTTTCTCTGCTTTGTTGTTCTTTACGAGGAGTTGACTGAAATGCAATAGTACACATTNGCTAAGTTAGAATAATCCTAGTGACATTGTCACAATTTGGATTAATAGTTTGAATATAATGTGAAGGAAATATTTGGCTTGTTATTATCGTTACTGAAAGTTTTTTGATTTGATGACATCTGTGTTGAGATGGAACACTTGTTTGCAGTGAAGAAAGGGAGGAAACGGCATAGCAAATTAACGGCTGAACACAGAATCAGCTGGACAGTTGGAAGAAAACTCACTTTCAGTTAAATAAGATGAAATAAGAATACCTTCTCACTGCCGGTTAAACTGGAGTCGTCAACATCGACACCAAGCGTATCGTAATCGCTGCAAAATGGCAATTCTAGAATATGCAACAAATTACAACTGATGACGGTATTCATAAATGATACGAATCACAACTTTCTTTTCAAATCTTTATCAATACTTCATCATAATCTCATCGTTAAAATCGATGAGCCAGCTGTCGCATAACGCTTTCATGAGCCAGAAAGAGATTCGGATGGGGATTGAAAACAAATTTTAAAACACAATTAGGAGGCTGACGTTGTTTTCAGAATCAAAATTTATGTTACAATCAGAAAATTTCAAATTCATCGAGGGAAGAGCAAAAGTTCACACGTAAACTGTGCATAAGAAAAACTTTCACAAGAAAATGAATCAGAGAAGAATCACCTCATATCATCAATATCCATGTAATATTCGTTCGGCTCAAAGATTTTAGAAGCGTCCATTCTCGCAATTTCATCACCTAATTTTTTTTCGATAATCGCACCTGAGTCAGTAATTTTCGCGGACTGTAAAGTATCGCTTTGCAATTTATGATATTTCATATGATGAAGCAATCATATGAAGTAGGTATATTCAAATATCAAATGCGGTAAATTACTATAAATTACATTGAAATATATAACAGTGGTTCTCATCCTCGGATGCTCGGGTGCTCGATTACCTCCTCTGATGGTCTAGCAGGCCATCATTATACACTCCCCCCCCNCCCCCCCCTCCCCCCTCCCCCCCTCCCTCTCCTCCCACCTTCGCTACAATAATTTACTATATCCACGCATAACTTCAGAAAAAACGAGAATCGGTCCGGAAATTCTTTAGTGGCGTGAAAGAAATTAATTTCCTAGAATGAAGCGAATATTTATAGAATTTCATTTATCAACTGCAGAAACAATGTGAACTTCAGCAATTTATAACGAAAAGCAGTGATAAAATGAAATATATTGACTAATTCAATTATTTATGAAAACGAAAGATGCACTCAAAATTTGAGAACTTATATTTGAGATGAACGTTTCATCAAATGGATAGTTAAGGAATAATTAAACATTCATCAGTCGTTGAAAACAACCCCGAACTATCGAGATTTTTAGGTACAACTACAGGTGCTTAGGCTTGTTACGATGAGATACCGTCACAGTGGCATTTCATCATAACAGAGCAGCTCCACCAAATATTATTTCTCTCAATCAATCCCCACTGCTCATACAAGACAATATCAGCCAATAAACTGAAGAACTTACGAAATATTTGTAACTACTTTAAACTGACTTTCGTTTAGGCGCAGACAAACTAATGATATTTACGAAATAGGGGAAAGTGTTGCCATGAGCCAACCGCGTATATAAAACCCAAGTGAAAAAGCACTATCACAGTGGCATTCCGTCATAATATAACAACTGCAAGAAGTACTAATTTCTGCACCCACTCCATTACCCCTTCC